ATGTATATATATGTATATGTATATATATGTATGTATGTATATGTATGACACATTTTGCTACAGGAGAAAACTGAGATTTAGAGACTCAGGAATTGAATTTAAGATATGTGGCTTATCTTGTCCATCTTGCCTTAAAATAAAACATTCATGCCACTGGGAACTCACACCTTCTGCATCAGCTCCAATATGCCGTGGAGGGACACGATCTGAGCAGAATGAAAGATCAACTGTTAGTGTGACGGGGGAGGATCGCCTCTGGACCACATGGCTGACACCCAAGACGAAGCTGTTAATAGTGTCCCACACATCTGACAACATCTTTTCATTTGTGGTGGCAGGGCAGAGGAGGCAGGATGCTATCACATATGATCAGTGAACCTCTCAGACTCAGGCGCTCAAGTGTTTCCCCAACACTTCTGCTGTAGTGAGAAATAAACTCCCCTCCAGGCTCAATACAACTCATTAATCATTCCATTGTTTAGTCGTCATATCTATCAGCATCACTGTCATATGTTTGTACAAATTAGTCTTCTGTTATTCTTACCTCTTCATGGAGAAATAAATGCCTCTAGCATCCTGTAGGCATGATATACCACATTTATGGTGTTTTCTAAAAACTTATTTGCCATCTCAAGCCACAGACCAACACAGTCTTCTCACTTTAACCTTGTGGCATGTGTTTAGAGAAATAGATAACCTTGACAGAGTTTCAGTAATTTGCCTGTCAGGAGTTTAAAATGAGGCTTTGTAATATAACTGCAGAAGAAAAGTAGTGGTCAGGTTTTCCTTGGACCGCTTGGCCACAAGAGCTTTAAATCAGAAATGTGAAGGAGCAAAGGGACAGCGGGGAATTGCTACGGGCATTAATTTAGCAGCAAGTTCAGATGCATTTGCTTTTCTTTCCGCTTTTGGTTMTGGCAGAGCCTCTCTCGAGTGTGGCAGGAAATTGTTCCCCGTGTGTTTGTCTGGCCGGACTGGCCCTCGCGTGTCTTGTGTGCAAACAAAGATAATTCGGCGTTATGCATAGGAATTCATCTCCACTTTTGTGTTTGGGATGCCAGGGCCAAATTAAACTGTGTGAACGAGCAGGAGGGCCGCTCTGTCTGCTGCAGTCATTAGAAGGAAAATAAGAATCTTTCCCTCGGTAGCCCGTGTGCTTAGAGAACAGGAGCTTGACTACACAACGAAAAAAAGAACTGAGGAAACTCCCACCTGCTCTTCACACTAAAACAATCCTCTTCCATCGGAGATTATGCTTTATGAATCTGGCATTAAATAAAGTCTGAAACAGAAGCCTTTCCATRACAATGTATTACTTCAAAGTATTCAAGCAGTTTTTTAAATAAATTCAATCTTCACATGACATGGAAAAGKGATACARGGGTTCGTCAAAGGTGCATGTTGTTGTTGTTCTATTATAAAGCTAATATGGGTGTGTTCTTTAACCTCTCTCTACAGGATTGGCCTTTTGCTTTTGAGCAAGCCTTTGGACAGAGAAACTACAGATCAGTACCGTCTAATTGTCACAGCTTCTGATGGCAACCTTGGAGGGGTGAGGCACAACACTTTTTTTAATTAATGACCTAACTCTATTGGATTTCGTGATTGTTCAAATTAAAAGCCAGTTAGATTCACTTAACTCAAGTGCTTTACTCTGTTTGAAACGATAATAATGTGTTTTAATTTAGAGTTTAATAAAATCTTGTGAGTTTGGCTCAGTGTTTGTGGAAACCATGATAATGAGGAGGACCAACAGGGTTATAGCAGCAGTTTATTAAGTCCACACTTTTTGACTAATCCACGTTTTTCTTTTGCAGCTTTTTATAAAAAGAATTGTAGAAGAGATTTTAATAGAGATGTGAGAGGTTTAGATGTTCCCAGTCATGCTCACTTTTGGGTAGCATTTATYAGTAGCTGTTTTCCTTCATTCAAACAAGATCATTTCACCAAGTGCTCAGCTCTACTGGTGGAACAGGACTAGGAAGTTTTTTTTTTTCTTTTTTTTGCTTTTCACCATCAGATGCATGACAGATGCCATGTTACAGTGGAAGATTCTGAACTAGAAAAGTGTTTAATACAATATTAATTTTACTCTGAATAAAGTGCTGTTATKCTATGTTATATGTTTGTTCTTGCTGTTGTACCAGTGATGCAAATGTTCTTTTAACAATCTTTTTTTTTTACTTTATTAAAAAGGAACTCAATAACACAACATAAAACCACAACTTTAAACTATTTTAGACTAAACAATGACTTTTTAATATRGTTCTTCTGTTTTTGGTCTTTGTATGTGTTTGTCGGTCAGTAGCATTATCTACAAATCTCATTAACTTCAAGATGGCTGCCACTGCTAAACAACCTTAAGCATAAAAATGGCAATGAGTCAGTGAGTTTTGCAGATTATAATTTAAAGTTATGTGTGGTAGTAGCTGAGAGTCATCCTCAACACACACTTTGGGTCACAAACTAAAACACTGTGTGTGAGTAAAGTACAAGAATAAACAAAGTTTGGGCACAACGGTTGTTATTCTGTCTCTTTTCAATACAATCGGATTTTTAGTCAAAAACGCTGGTAATGCAAGTAACTCCTTAAAGGAATGTAGATATAACATTTTTTTACTAGAATAAATCACATTTTTAGCATAGTTACAATATAATATTTTGGTGTAAAATATCTGACCACATCATTAAAACTTCACTGCCCATATAAGCACTGCTACAGATGAAGCTGTGTTAATGTTTTGGCTGTTCATTGTACTGTACATCTGCAGTTGTTGTGCTGATTTAATGAATGGAGTACTGTGTTGAGCATGTTTTTTTTAYTGAAACTATGATAATATTTAAAGGCACATAAAAGTTCAGATTTCCATTTACTACATTTCATGGTTTTCTCCACTCCTGTGGCATAAAAAATAYATTAGTGAGTGTTATTTTATACTAACGATGACTCAAAAACGTATTTCTTAAATTGTAAAATGTGTTGAGTGTGCCTTTTTATAAAGCTGCTGTCAATTCAGTTTTATCAAAWGCACTTGGGAAACAATATTCACATGACTGCGACTTAGCCTTAAGAAACAGCAGACCCCAACCAAATGTGAATGTTGGCTGCGCTGCATCCCACCGGGAGCTGCTAATAACATAAACTGTCTTAATTTAATTAGACTTCACCTCAGTTGGCTCGCTTTGTTGCACCTGCCTCTAATCTAGGGAGAGGAGTTTCCTGTTTTAAAATGCAGTCTATGATAGGGTRGAAACATTAGCTGATGAGCTGTCACTAGAGTGATGTTGATTGCTGCCCTCTCACCTCATAACTATTGGCAGTCTCAGTACGTCRGTCAGGTGGGAGTCGGTCCCGTTATGTGAGACACAGAGTGAAACAGACGCACTGGATGAACAGTGACTTAAAATAAAAATAAAGAAGTAAATGAGGTGTGTAGAGTGATGCTTCGCCTCACCGCGATGTCACCACTAGCAGGAACTGTGTAAATGTTGCCGGTTGTACAGAGCAGCTGTCTTTAGCTGCGTAATAAATGTCTTCCTGTGTTGCAAAAAATGCTCGGGACCCACAAAGTATATTAATACTTGATTTGTGTGGACTCTGTGTCACAGCTTGTAAGAAATACTGTTACAACTGGGAKTAAATTAAATGAGAGAGAAGAGTAAAAGTGTGTGAGAGTAGAAAGGCGAGGAACTCATTCAGTGCAACAAAATGTGCACCCAGTTTGATCTAAGACTATGAACTGAACAAAACTGTAGTTTCATTGTTTTAATGCTTTAGTGTCATTTTTTGTAYAACTGTAAAACGAAAAGGGGAAACCAGCAACAGGCTGAGTCTCTGAGAATGTTAACATCTCAGATTACTTTTATGAACAGTTTCTTACTACCTTATTAAGGCAACAAATTAGTTTAAAAATGCCAACTTATGTACATTTTAAAGTTTTATTTAGGGGAAAAATGGCTTTTCATAGACAGCAGCAGTAGGCTCKTCTATGCAGATGAGTGTAGACACTGAAATTTTAAATATTTGATGACCAAAAAGCAAAATGAAAACTTCCKTTACTCAGTCAAATACTAATATCTAWCAGTAGCTCTCTTTGTAGTGTAATTAAATGTTAATGACAAGTCCATGCATGAAGGCTAAATATGTTCATTGCAGCTGGTCTGGTTCTGCTCTTTTCTACACTGCTTGTTTTAGAGGCCATTTGAGTCTAAAAAAAAGTCTGAAAGAAGGCAGTGTGAGCTGTTGATAATCAATTTGAGTTCTAAACCAAAAACCACAATCAAGAAACTTTTAAGGACAATCTTCACAAGACACTTATTGATGCGTAATCAAAATAAAACTTTCACCATAAAATTCAGCATGAGAAGTTTGCACAAACACAATGATTTGATACTATAAAACATTTGGATGATAATCAAAAAGAAAAAAAATAAGTAGGTCCTCTGGATGGGTTCTTCTTTAGTGAAACGTTTCATCTCTCGTCCAAGAGACTTCTTCAGTCTGATGAGTTTCAGGTGAAACTCAGCCTTATAAGCCCTGCCTCCACCTGGACAAACAGGTTAGTCACATGCAAAAGAGGGCCATTGACTAACAATAGACTTGATTAGCTCTATTGTTCATAGAGCGGTCACTCTTTCAGGGATGAAGATGTTTTCATCCTTGACAGAGAGGAACGTTGGTTTCAGAAGCCATCTTTGTGGAAAAAAAAAACGTCCACCATTAAACAGAGGTGGAGGCCTTCGTGTCCAGTTGTCCTCCTCCTACAATGCTGTCATTGTAAGTATGACTCGGACCCCTGTGAGCAAACGGTGTGAGTCAGGGCCCCAATGATACCAACACAAAGAGGGAGAGAGGGACAAAAACAAAGGGACAYTGAACCCCCGCTTGCATTCACTACATTCACATAACACGACACGGGTCAGGTGATGGGGCGCATGACCCTCTATGAACAATAGAGATAATCAAGCCTATTGTTAGTCAATGGCCCTCTTTTGCATGTAACTAACCTGTTTGTCCAGGTGGACACAGTGCTTATAAGGCTGAGTTTCACCTGAAACTCATCAGACTGAAGAAGTCTCTTGGAGGAGAGACGAAACATTTCACTAAAGAAGAACCCATCCAGAGGACCTACTTATTTTTTCTTTTAGATTTATTTTTCTACCTGGATTACTGAGATGCATCAGGACATTTGGATGATAATATTAACATAAAATGCTCAAACATTTAAAAAGGAAAATATGTATTCAGTTTTATTCAATTATGTAAATCCTTTGTTTGTTTTTTTAGTTCCCAGTGACAGATTTATTTGATCATACATTTTCACTGTATATTCTTGTGTAAAAATTAAAACCACATATGTGACAGTGACAATAAGGAGTGCTATCCCCATAGGCTAGATTTGAAATTAGCTCAAACCCACCTAACCAAAACTTAACCAAAGTGAACAAAGACACCGGTCCACATTGCTGCTACCCTTTCATTTCAGTCAGTTTTTTCAGCTCACATGCATACATAAACATGTTTCCTCATTTTTTTTTACCTCTTACATCATCTAGTCTCACATAAAACAATCTGTCCTCACCTGGTGGACAAATTCCAAAATTTATATTCTCGCCAGTACAAGCTTTAATCAAATCTGCCAAGCGGACTTGAATCCCAGAATTTCACCCTAGCATGCCAGATTGCCCTCAGCAGGAGAGTGTCCAGGACTCCTAATAGCCTGATCATATCAGTTCCTGCAACAAGGTTTCTAGTCAAGATTATCACTTAAAAGCAAAACGTCATCCACCACCTCTGCATCCATCGGGCAGCTAGCTCTGAAGATGACACATCATAGAGCCTCGTCTATTTCATGTTAAATAAATAATGGCAGCTCATTAATCACATTCAGGCTTGTAGACTTTGAATTTCTTTGGAGTTGGTAACAACGCCCATGCTTGAATGGTGACACTAATTGGCCTGAAGTCTTCGGTGAAATGAAAAATGAGCTGATGTTTCACAAGATCACAACAGTAGTGAAGAAYGGCTTTTATGTCACTTTTTTTTTCTTTCTGAGAAATAGATAAAAAAAACATGAATGGTTTTCCTAGTAGGTTATCAAGCCCAGTCAAAGATGATCATAGGCATGCAAAAAAATTACAGCAAATTATAACCATAATGGAGGATTCCACAATAACCAGAACAATAAAAAAATGACATTAAGTAGGTCATTTGAAAACTTTCACACAGCTGTCATCTTGGGAGAATTTTATTTTGTAGGAGCTAAATCCTACAACAAACCCATTTTTCGTACAACCCCCTAAACAGAGGACATTCATGCAATCATTTGCAGGCACAGTCGCCTCATGACACTGAAAGATTATGGCTTGTGGTTTCTGCCATTTTCTATGTTGATTTATAGAAGCATCATGTGCATATGAACTGCGCCTTTGTTTGAAGGTTATTGGTTGTACACTTGTCCTAACTGGCCTTGCAAATAAATGATGCCGGTAAGCTCTGAGATCAAAAACCCTCACATGAAATGCTTGTCAAAAACAAGTAACATATAAACATGATTCATATCCGTGTACTGAATATATTTAAATTGTGATAATAGTTATGTAATTGTCTAAAGCATTGAGTTACTGCCGTGAGTTTGATAAATAATAAGATTATATATCCTTGCTGTGTCATAGATTTAATTTAAAAGAAAAGCATTTTCAAGGAGGGATTTGGAGGCTTTCATTGCTGACTTCTGTTTTTCAAGTTTTTACCGTTGAGCTATATTGCCAAATGTTTTTTTTCCCTTTTGTGCTCTTGTCTTTTAACATTTTCAGCAAATGACAAATTATTTATGAGTGGTGTAGTGCTTCTTGTAGGATGCGGTACAGGATAGCGTACTGTAGCTGTCAGATCTGAAGTGAACTGTAACATCTAATCCTCACTTACTACTGTCTTTCAAAACATCCCACTGATTGGCAGTGACTCGTGCATTTCTTGCTACAGTCAACCAACATGAAGCCAGTAAAGTAGTATTTTTTTTTCAACCTATCAAAAACGTCTGCTGGATGAGACAAATACCTGAAACATGCAGGAAGAATCTGAAGAACTGTCTTCTGTGTCATGAGGAACTGTTAGTAATGGAACTTAAAACATAGAACTAGAAAAGATGAGGACAATCTTCATCCTCATTTTTTTAAAAGTGCCAAAATAAATATGTTTTTTTAAAACAGGGGTCTTAACTAACCCCCAAACTGATAGAGAGATGAATCAAGGACACAAGGACATATTATATACAGTATATGTACAGAATTGAGTGAAGCAGGATTCAACTGGTGTTCTCACTGAATGTGAGCATTTCACACTGAAATACATTATTTTACGCCTCAATACATCAATCTGCTACATGTTGGAGTCGTGCTAACATGTGGTCAAAGACTTTGCTTGTGATCTTGTGTCTTTAAATTGAGCCCTCAGCAAATTTCAATGACAATTTATGCTCTTGTTTCTTTAGACGTCTACTGCTACTGTGAGCATAGTGGTCACTGATGTCAACGATAACGACCCAGTCTTTAACCGCACCRTCAGCACTAACTTTACCGTCCGAGAAGAAAAGGCCAACTTGTTTGTAGGGCAAGTCCTGGTAAGTGAAACATTTCATAAGAACAATCCTTGGTTATGTGTTCAAATTAAACCTCAGTACATTATCTGTTGTCACTTCTTTGCTCAGAGATACCGTAATATACTGTGTTTACGTTCTTTGTTATTTGTTAACGTTTTGCTGAGGCCCTTGACTGATCACTTTGTCATTGTTCCTGCTCATTAACAATTACTTGGCCTTATTTTAACAAGTTTTAGCCAAAGCTGCTTCCCTGCTGGAAACCTCAGCTAAAACTCATTATGCAGCCRCATTTTAATTATTTATTTTTAATTACTGATGCAGGTTACCAGACCTGAATGTTGCCAATAAGTTAATTATGTCTTCTTGACATCCTGCGTTAGAATGCACAACAGGGCAAATGATGAAAAAACAATCCGATTTAAAAATCATTTTAATAATGATGCAATTATTCATTCTGTGGTTTTACTGTTTTTCATACACAAATTCACACAGGTTAAAAATTCAACAGAGTTCAGTAAACATTGTATAATGTTGTTGAGACTGAAAGGAACAGTATTTATTTTTTATTTTAATATCTTGGAAAGATGTTTGCGGAATTTCACAAGTTCAAAGTTCAGCTCCCACATAATAGTTAAAATATTGAATTATTCATGTTAATGTTTTGAAAAATTTAAACGTAATTTAGAAGCTGCAGATGAACTAGTTGATGTCAATTTATCAGTCTTTACTCCTAAAACATTGTTAATAAAAGGTGTGATATTGAAGAAATTTTGTAACTGATTAATTGAATATTAGATTCAGTTTTGTATTTTATACTTTCTGATCATTTCAGTCTGTAAGGTTGAAGCTGACAAAGAGTTGGTGTGTTATCATGTGTTCTCTCTCTTAGCCTAAACAAAACTGAGTGACGTTCTGACATCTGACGTAAAAGGTAACACCTCTGGGGTGTAACCAGGAAGAGATGAACATTATAAGCTCAATTCATTATTATAGTAGAGAGAAGTTGTCAGTGTTTTTTTGCAGAGTGTCTGCTCAGAGCAGAGCTCCCGTGTTTGTTTTGGTTTGGCCCAAGGTTGTACTCTGAGGCCTGTGCTGCTGAGAGCTGAATGAAGCTGATTGGAATCAGAGGACTGAAATAAAGTTTTTAACAAGAAATCCAGCTGAATCCTGTTTATTCGGACATACCATATTAAAACACGTATTTCTTACAATGTGTTAATTAGAGTATATATACATACAGTTGTGGCCAAATTACCAGTTAAACTTCTCTGATTTTTTTTTTCTTTTTTGTGGTTTCTGTTTTCAGAAAGCCATAATAGTCTCAATTCTGAAAGTGAAAATCAGTTTATTCGGACATATATTTTGTTTATTTCTTTCAAGTCAATATGAAGATAAACTCCACACTATCATTTTGTCAGTACTTATATGAACAATGATCAGAGGGAACATTTCTGAGCTGCTGCAGCTGCTCTTCTACTTCTCTCCGTCACCTGCAAGCCAAGATCTGGACTCACTTTATGTAACAAGTACAATCCTGCAGGATACAAAAAAATGTTTATTGTCTGTGGTAAAAAAAATGTTAAAAATTCACTGAAAGCTTGTGCACACCAAAGAACATTTGTCACACTAAAGTAGACAAACTTTGCTGTCTCACTGTGTTTATTAAAGGAGACATATCAGGATTTTTCACATTTAAATCATTCAGTTGAGGTCTATTTAAAGTGGAATTGCAATGCTTTGGTCTGAATTTCACCTTATTGTAACTTCACAAGCCCGTGTTCCACCCCTCTTCTGAGGTGTGTCTCATGTCGACTCATTTTGAGGCTGTCTTTTTAAACTTAAACGAGGCGCTTCGCACCAGTCTGACAGTCAGAATGAAGTTAGGAAATCCATACATTGTTTAGAAGTTGTGTTGCAAATGCTGTGATGTAATAGTTGAGAAAACGTCATAAAAAACAGAGAAAACTGAACGAGTTGAAAAATATGACCGTAGCAGAATATAATATCTATGCTTCACCGGGATCATTTTCTGCACTCCTAGAGGCTCCTGGTACACAACAAAATGCATTTAATGGCTAATAAAGTGGATTTAGCGTATGTCCCCTTGGAGGGAAGGACGTCTTAGAACGTACCTGTTCACATGATGAAAATCAAGTCTTGCTTTCTTTTAGTTCCTTGTCTGAATTGCTTGTTTAAACATACCCTATCAGTACAGGACTTGTCTGAACTTTCAGAATATAAAGTTTAAACATGGATAACCTGGTGTATTTTAGTTGGTAATACACTACTGCTAAATGGTGAAAGTTTATGAAGTGAAAAAAAGGACTACATGACACAGGAAGGAATCTTGGTGCTTGCATGCTGCAAAGTCCACTCAAGTCTCAACTCATTGCAAGTGTTTCCTCAGAAATGCAGCTAGCAGCTAAAACGGGGCTTAGTCCAGCGCTCAAGCTCTCTCCCTCTGCTCTGCTTTGGGAGGTTTTCTGAGCTGGCAACTCGCCACGTTCAGCTAAGAATCTGACTAAAAAGAAAAGTACATTAAAGTACTTAGCTCCATAGGATCCGGCTGTCTGTACGCACTGAGAGGCTGCAGTTTAGCTTGCTGAAGCTTAACAAGAAGGTACGGAGGCTTTTTTCTTCTGAGACAGTTTCATAAAATGATAGCAACTACAGTAAACTTTGTTTTATTATTCAGTTTCAATACATTAAAAGAAAATAAAAACATAAAAACCTTTAAATAAAGAAGAAAAAGGAATATCTTGACGTATGGATATAAGAACCAGCTCAGTGCTATTAAATTTATTTTAGCTACTCTTTCTGTTTCAGTCTGGAATATTTCCTTCTTTTTTCCTAGTTTGTTTCCTTGAGGTAATGTTTTCACGGTGAAGACATTTTTCAAAGAGGCTTCCCATTTTTCATGCAGGGAGCACAGATTTGCATTTTAAGACATCATGCTCATTGCCGAGCGTTTGAGATCATTCCCCTCGGGAAGACGCTTCTAAATAAACTTGATTCATAGATAGTTTAGTTGTGAAATGTGGTTAAACCTTAGCGACTTGCTCCTATACGGGGAAGGGAGCCAGACTATCTATATTCCTTGGTAACACTTCATTGTGGATGTGGGACACTTCTAAATGAGTCAGTATTGGCCAGGGTCGAGTTGTGAAGCCTGCTCTTTGTCAGTTAACTCACACCATTTACTGTATGGCAAAGATTTCACTATGTTTCATCAGTCCCTTCTGATAGGCCGACAAATGATCAGTAACTGCTCGTGCTTTTTCCCCGGGCCTGAATAACATTTTGTGATGAACATCGTCTCTCTAGCTGAACAAATTTTGTTCCAATCAAAACAGTAGCCTAAAGCTTACGATTGCATGATACACTAAGTAATAGACCAAGTGACAGAAGAGGGAATAGATGAGATGCAAGCAGCTTGAATTAAGCAACTTTGTGTCTGTTCAAATTATATA